ATGAGAGAGAAACATCGATCAGCTGCCTCCTGCACATCCCCTACTGGGGATGTGCCCGAATCCAAGGTACATGCCCTTGACTGGAATCGAACATGGGACCTTTCAATCCACAGGCCGACGCTCTATCCACTGAGCCAAACTGGTTATGGCTAAGCCACAGTCTTAAATATTCTAAGTCAAAGTCTTAGAAAGTATACTAACTTGGCAAATTCTAAAGACATAGTTCTTTGAGATTATAGGAGATATATAGAGTTCAGAGTCTGCCAATGACAAAAGAACATTGAGATGAAATGAAAATAACACAAAAGTGAGAACAATAATATGAAACTGCATTTTATAAGACATTTAATCAACCCAAGGTTCAAATATTGAAGTTCTTCTTTAAAATATTTTTAAGAAGACATGAAAAATAAAACCTTTTTATTATTGGTAACTTAATGAGATATTTTCTTATCCTCTTTAGCAAATACCTCTTGATGGCTTCTGTTAAACAGTTGCAAGATATATTTATGTGAAGTTTTTTTTCCTGAATTAGTCCTATGGATTCTATCAATATTACTTGCTCAGTGTGGAAGAGGCAAAACTTGCTACACTCTCCTTCCAATTTCATTGACAAGTCGGCTGGGAATCCAGCCTGAGGGCTCTGACTCCTATTCTGTGTAACCGCTAGATCATTCTTTTCTTTTAAAAATGTTTTAAAAATATATACTTGGGCACACAAACCACAACTACCTTAATATTGTTTTATTGCTTCATTTGTCTTCCCATGCTCTTCTAGCTCTTAACAATCATTCATGATATTTGGAAAATGATTCAAAGAGGGCACTTCAAAGTATTGTTGTGTGGCTCAACAAAACAATGCCTCCCTGTCTTTTCTTCCTGGGCTATCTTTGACAAAAGTACTCGACAATATATGTATTCACACAGACATCGTAACCTTTACTTTACATTTGTAAACCATCATTAATTCTTTTTTTTAAATGAAAACACTTAAATTTACCTAAACATGAAAGAATATTTTTTTTCTATCTTTAGGATTCATCCTTAACAAAAAGGAAAGGAACATTGAAGATTTAAAATAATGTGATGGTAAAAAGAAAGATATTTTATTTTCATAAAAACTTGATTTCAGCCAAGCTTTAAAGACAAAAGACAGAGGAGTGTATCACCATTACTATCTACATGATCACCTGAAGGCCACACACACACACACACACACACACACACACACACACACTAAATGTGTACACTGCTACTTTTCAGAGTTCTACTTTTGAACTATTCTTTGTAAAAAAACAAAGTTGGCAGATGCCAAATAGAAGTGAAGTATATGGCATATCAACAGGCTATTACAAGAGTATAGGAATGAAGAATGAATGTGAGAGTCATTTGAGAGTGCTATGGGATGTGAATATTCAGAATAGATTTATGAAGGTTAAAAGTTTGTCAGGACTAGAGATAGAACACCTTTGGTTTGGTTGATAAAATGTTTTTAATTTACTGACAATATAGACAAATTGGATGTGGGTGTAAGGACAGAAGGAGAGATACAAAGATTTACTAATTTCAAGCAGAGTCGCAGTTACTAGAGCCTTTATGCCAGAAATAACCAGGACTTTCTTGGAGGGGAAACCACTTTTCAATACAGTTTTGCTCTTATGTTTATATCAAATCCACATGGATATACTCAAAACACAGAGTCCCTAAAATGATCTACTTTGACTTCCATTCCGTGTAACAATTTCTATTCTCCAAATGATCCATACCATTATTTTCTCTCCTTTATTGACTTGCTGATGGAAGAGATTATATTTATAATTTGCATTCTTATCATCTGATGATTCTTTTCGGCACTGCTTCAGAAGGCTTCCGCCTAATCAACACATTAAGTCATAAAAAAAAGAGATGAAAATGCAATTGGAATATGAAATATAGTATGCACATTGAGAGGAAAAATTCAGATTAGGCAAATTTGATTTCTTTTTATACTTTAGGCATATATTTTGGAAAAGTAAAAGGGTTATAAATATACAAATAAAATAAATTTCTTATACATTTTATTTATATACAATAAGGGTCAACCAAATTGGATTGGGAGAAATGGTCTTATTTGATAAGTTTACTTCAGTCTCTTATTCATTCATTTCTTCAACAAATGTTATTTGGACACCTACTATGCTTTAAGTAATGGTCATGGAGTGAAAGAGGAATTGATCCTTCTAGAGCATATATACTAGTGGAAGAGACAGATAATAAGCAAATATGAACTTACAATATTATGAAAGAGTGTCAAATATATGGTGACGAAAGAAGATTTGACATTGGGTGGTAAATACACAATACAATACACAGATGATGTATCATAGAATTGTATACTTGAAACCTATATAATTTTATTAACCAATGTCACCCCAATAAATTTAATTTAAAAAGAATAGTAAAAGGGGCTCAGGAATAGAGAATGATGCTGGAAGAGGATATTTTAGATGGGAAGGTCAGGCAAGGCCTCTCTAAGGAAGGAATATTTCAGGAGAGACATGTATGCAATGAGGAAAAATCACTGGAATATTTAATGGAAGAGTAATCTAAGTACAGGAAAGAAGATTTCAAAAGCACTAAAATGGGGACAAGATAGCACATTAGAGAAACAAGGTGTGGTGTAGTTGGTGCTGTGTGAGAAAAGGGGGAGTGGAAGAAAGGAAGATGGGAGGAATAGGCCTAGTGAAAGGTCAAATAGGGGCCTACTGTATATGCCAGTAATATAACTTTTATTTGCAGTACCATAGAAAGCCCCTAGGTGTTTTGAGAAAAGTGGGCAACATGTGCTCCTAGTGGAATGGAGGCAATGCGGAGGGGTTGGTATGGGTGCTGGACACACAGTGGATCTGATCACAGCTATGAACCTCAAGC